CTCATGTGTTAGTGCAAAAAGTTCAGAGGTAAAATAACTGGCTTATGAAAGCCTTAATCTCATCACTGTGCTAATCCACTTAAGTGGATTAACTGAGTAATAACTGTAGGCAGTAGTGTGTAGCTGGAGGAGGTAGATGACTGGGGGTGTGCATTTGGGACTCATATTTTGTTGTTATTGAGTGGAGCTCGCTCTCTGCTTCCTGACTCTCATGTCCTGAGCTGCTTTCCTCCTTCACATTCTCCCACCATGCTGCTGTTCTGCCTCATCTTGGGCCCAGAGCAATGGAGCTGGTCGTCTACAGACTGAGACTGCTAAAGCTGTGTGCCCCAAACTTTTCCTCCTCTAAAATTCTTCATATCATGTCTTTTGGTCACAGCAATAAAAAGGCTGAGTATAATAGTAAGAAAGCTTGAAGACCCTCCCAAATTCCTGATCCTGAGAAACAGCAGGAAATAAATGTTTGTTGTTTTAAGTCATTAAGTTTTGGGGTAATTTGTTATGTGGCAGGAGATAACCAATACAGTGGTATAAATGAATGAAAAAATTAAGATCTGTGGCAGCTACAGGAACAAAGAGCTCCATATCCCAAAACACCCCTAAGTCAAGTCAAAGGAGGCCCCTGTCCCCACTCCCACATGCACAACCCCAAGGTTCCACGGGTCCCTTTTCATTCATTCATTGACCAGTCAAACATTTGCTCAGTACTTTATCTCTGCCAGATAATGGTTCACATCTCACCACAGAGGCCTTGCTCTCACAAAAATGTAGACCGACTATGTGCTGGGGGTAGCAGACAGATACATCCCTGATACCCGTAGTAGGCTCACTTGGTACCACTTTGTGCCCAGTAGTACCAAGTGAGCACCTGTATCCAATTCCTCTAAGACACTGCAACTTCCTTCTCAGTGTCCTTCTCTGATCACTTCACCTAGGGGACATCAGCTGCCACATGGTAAGCAGCCCTATGGTGAGGTCCATGTGGAGAGGAATGGTCAGAAACAATCACAAAATTCTTGGGTACAGATTGAGTATCCCAAATATGAAAACCTGAAATCCAAAATGCTCCAAAATTCAAAACTTGGAGAACTGACATGATGCTCAAAAAGTTTCATATTTCAGGTTTTCAGATTAGGGATGCTCAACTGTTAAAGTTTATGCAAATAATCCAAAATCTGAAAGATTCTGAAATATGAAATGCTTCTGGCCTCAAGTATTTTGGATAAGGGATACTCAATCTGTACCCCAATGATCAGAACAAATGTAATTTATCCTAAAACAGAAATCTAATGTACAGCAATAGGAAGAGAAGTTATCCACTGCTCACTAAATGCTAGGCACTTAGCCACTGCTCAGTCTTGCATGAGGTGGGGACAAGGGTTTAATGATGATGTACACAAAGCCTGAGATGTCAGTTCTGTTGTTATTCTCATCTTACCCTGAAAAAAAAAATTGTGGCCATAGAAAGCTCACATTTGGCAAGGATCAAGAGTAGGGTATGGTGGGCTGGGATTGTGGCTCAGTGGTAGAGTGCTCACCTAGGATGGGTGGGACCTGGGTTCTATCCTCAGTACCACATAAAAATAAAGGCATTGTGTTGTGTCCATCTATATATAGCTAAAAAATAAATATTAAAAAAAAAGAGCAGGGTATGGGCCAATCAGTTCAATGATACCCCATACAGCTATTAAAAAGGCAAAAGCCAGGCACAGTGGCACATGCCAACAGTCCCAATGACTGGAGTGTGAGGCAGGAGAACAGGAAATTTGAGGCCAACCTGGTCAACTTAAAGAGACCCTGTCTCAGAATAAAAAATAAAAAGGGCTGGGGATATAGCTCAGTGATACAGCACCCTAAGTTCAATCTCTAGTACTTCAAAAAAAAAAAAAATCAAGTCAAAGGAAATATTTCTTCATTTAAACAATTGTTCATTCTATATTGTTAAATGAAAGCAATAAATAAATAAAATGGCTCATTATCACATAAGTATGTATAATGATACTACTGTTTTAAGGAGAAAGACTCCTCTTCCCATATATACAAAGACTAGAACAGACACAATATTTACTGTGCTTATGTCTGGGTAATAGGATTACATGTGGATCTTTTTTTTTTTTTCATTTTGTGTTTTTCCATTTTTCTAAGCAGTTTCTACATTTAGTTGTATTGCTTTAAAATCAGAAATCCCTTAAAAAATGTGGATGCTGGGGATGTGGCTCAGTGGGAGAGCTCTTGCCTAATATGTATGAAGCCCTGGCTTTGATCCCCAGCAACACACACACACACACACACACACACACACACACATACACACACACACACATGAGAAATCTAAAAGGCAAGAATAAATCCTATTCCTTCTCCCTCCCTCAGGAGACTGCCAGGGATGGTTCCAGGGACCTGATTTGCCTAAATAAATCAGTTAGGTTTGGTGGTTGAAAGGGACAGAATAGACAGTTCCCTCGGCTTCTGGCTGAAAACTGACAGGGTAAGCCCTGATATTCCAACTCAACCTGGCCTAGCATGCCCCAAGGCCCAGTGAAAAGTTGGCTGAGTCCAAATCTGGGCTCCAGGGACTACAGGCTGAAGACAAGAGTTTCTCATTAAATAGTTACAGGTCCCAGGAGCTCAGTTTCCAAATAGGAAAGATAAAAATAGTCTGGAAGAGACTTCTAAAAGAGATACATGGACTGCCTTGTATCCTCCTTCTTCTGCTCCCAGTCTGGGCTTCAAATACCATCTGACCCTCTGTTACCACTGTTCCTGCTGTCCAAGTCAAATCCCACCCCTTCACATCTGGACCAGCTTCCTCAGTTTACCCACCTGGGTTGCATCAGATCAACTCTCTTAAATCACCCCTGCTCAAAATTTTCCATGTCTCCCAGGGGGGAACCATTTTAAAAATGAAGTCTTCAGGGATGGGCATGTAGCTCATCAGTAGAGTGCTTCCTAGCATGCATGAGGCCCTGGGCTTAATCCCCACCACATTTCTCCTGGGTAAGGGTCAAGCCCTCAGAAATCCTGAATTAACAGATCTGGAAGGGGACTCAGAAATGTGCATTTTAACTAGTAAGTCTAGTACCCCTAGTAAGGATCTTCTAAGAAAGAAAACCCTGTAGAAAGAATCTCCCCTTGACTCCCAAAGGCAGTCTATGGTGGGGAGTCATTCCCAGTAAACATCTCCAGCCCTGGATTTGTGTCCCAGCAGACAGAAATCAGTCTGATTACAAATGAACTCAGCTCACTGAAATGGTTATCTCAATTAGATGCAAAGCACAACTTACAGAGTAAGAAATTATTTTCTACTGGATAAGTGTCTTGTCATATACTCCAGAAAAGTTCTGAATTGAAAACAGAGGTGGAAGAGTAAATCAAGTTCACTGTACTAAGGTTCCTGAACTAAGTCTAGTAAAAATCAGCATGTACTTGGTATTTAGGTGGTGTATGACTGTAATTCCAATGACTTGGGAGACTGAGGCAGGAGGATTCCAAGTTCAAGGCTAGCTTCAGCAACTTACTAAGCCCTAAGAAACATAGTGAGACTGTGTCTCAAATTTTAAAAAGGAGGGCGGAGCTGGGGATGTGGCTCAGTAGTTAAGCACCCCTGGGTTCAATCCCCAGGACCAAAAGTATCTGTAACATTGCTTGGCATGGTGGTGAACACCTGAAATTTCAGTAACTCAGGAGGCTGAGAGAGGAGAATCACAAGTTCAAGGTCAGCCTCAGCAACTTAGCAAGACTCTGTTTCAAAAAATAAAAAGGGCTGAAGATGTGGGGATGTAGCTCAGTGGTAAAGCACCCCAGGTTCGATCTCCTAATACAAAAAAAAAAAAAGTATCAGTAATATTGAAAAGAATTTGACATTAAATATTTAACAGATAAGCATTGTGATTCTGATTTAAGATATAAAAGTTAAAATGTACAGTTAAGTAATTGATATAATATATGTCAATAATTGATATTAGACTTGTGATTTTAGTTTGAGAGGTTAGCAATAATTGGAACACTGACTGACTATTAGAATCACCCAGGATGCTACAAAGGTTAGTTAAGGAAGCCCCCCATATTCTGAGTTCATGTCAGACAAAGAGCCTATATTTTTTAGACAGACAAAAGCCACTGACAAGAGAATTTTACTAAGTCTGTAAAAAGTATTAAATTGTTTACAAGAACTTGAAATTCAGTATGTTTATAAGTTTAATTAATCAGATTTTCTAGTAACCACGTATCCTCGGGGATATTGAGCTTGTTAGGTTATACATCTAAGTGCTTAAAAAGAAAATCAAATATATTAAATTTATAAATGGAGTTAAAATGTTTAAGGGAATGTAATTAAGCTGCAAATAGGGCTGAGTGTTTAAAGGAATTTAGTTTGTTAAACTTGAGATCAAACATCAAAGGAAAAGTGAAGGCCATTTTTCTTACTTTTCTAGATTTATGTACAGAATAATAATTCCTAAGTTGAAAGTGAAGGCTTAAAGATAATTAGGTTTTTAAAAACTGTTATTCTGGCCAGGTGCAGTGGCACATGCCTGTAACCCAAGCAGCTCTGGAGGCTGAGACAGGAGAATCATGGGTTCAAAGCCAGCCTCAGCAACGGTGAGGCGCTAAGCAACTCAGTGAGACCCTGTCTCTAAATAAAATACAAAATAGGGCTGGGGATGTGGCTCAGTGGTTGAGTGCCCCTGAGTTCAATCCCCAGTACCAAAAAACAAACCTGTTATTCTGCCGGGCCTGGTGGTGCATGCCTGTGATCCCAGTGACTAGGGAGGCTGAGACAGGAAGATTGCAAGTTCAAGGCCAGCCTCAGAAACTCAGCGAGGCCTTATCTCAAAATAAAAAATAAAAAGGGCTGAGAACGTAGCTCAGTGGTGAAAGTGCACCTGGATTAAATCTCCAGTATCAAAAAATAAATAAATTGGGGCTGGGGATATGGCTCAAGCGGTAGCGCGCTCGCCTGGCATGCGTGCGGCCTGGGTTCGATCCTCAGCACCACATACCAACAAAGATGTTGTGTCCGCTGAGAACTAAAAAATAAATATAAAAAAAAATAAAAAAATAAAAATTAAAAAATAAATAAATAAATAAATAAATAAAAATTGTTATTCCAAAATGAGAATTTCAGTTTAAAAGATAAAAAAAAAATTAAAAAAGGAGAATAAGCCATATCTTTCACTCCCTGTGTTCTTCCCTATTCATCCCACCTAAAATAATTGCCTCTGAACTGTCCATCAGCCAGGTTTGTTTGTTGCAGGTGATTAGCAAGAAGTAAGTAATCTTTTCCTTCAGGCTCACTACTTTCTGCCCCAAGGAGTTACCAGGATGCGTTGCAAATAGTAAATAACACTTTAATGATAACTCATCCCAGATGTAGAGCATTTCATACTTCACCTAACCAGGGATTACAGTTACTTTAGAGGCACTATACCACCATCACTGAGATACATTCCCAGCCCTTTTCAGTTTTGATTTTGAGACAGGGTTTTGCTAATTTGCCCAGGCTGTCCTACAACTTGTGATCTTCTTGCCTCAGCCTCCAGAGTAACTGGGAATATAGGCATGGGCCAATTAACTGTTGCTCTTTACAGATGAATTAAATAGGGCCAGAAGTCCAGACCTGATTAAGGTCACTAGTAAGAGCCAGGGCCAGGCTTGAAGTCTGGTCCATGGTTTTGAATGCCCCTCCATCCTGATGGCTCCTATCTCAGGCTCATATGTCTCTAAACTTCAGAGAGACAGATCTCCACTCACCTGTGACATCTCCACTTCCGATATAAACGGAATGTGGTTAAAGCAGAACTTAAGATCATTCCCATTGATTTTTAAGTCATTTTGTGGTCAAAATTCCATTTCTCTTTCCTGCACACATCTACCAGTTGTTCTGTCTGCCCTATTCCCTAAAATAATAAAAAGTCGGATGGTTTCTCTAATCCACAACCTAATCTAAATCATCATCATCCTTCAACTGATCCCCAGCAATAATTTCCCCTCTTCATTCATTCTCCCTAGAGCATCCAGAACGATGACATTAAAATATAAATTAAATCTTGCAGCATTCTTGTTTAAAACCCTTCAATGGTTTGTTAATGCAAGTAAGAAAAAAAAATAAGACTTCGTACCATGGGTTGCAAGGCTAAACTGAGCTGATTCCAGCCTACCTCTTCACAGTCTATCCTATTTTCTTTAAAACATCCCAGGACTGCAGTCACCCCAGGGCCTTTGCACCAACATTTTCCTGTTTGACCCTCTACTATAATCATTCAGGACTCTTGTCAACTGTCACCCTCGAGGCAGCCACCCAGGCAAAACTCCCACCACCACTACTACCTTAAACATCCATTCTCTTGTTTTTCAAAGCACTATTTTGTTAACTGTCCCCTCCCCATCTGCCTATACAAAGTAGATTGAGCGCCCCTAGCTCAGGGCCTTCTTCACGGCGGAAAACGTTTGAGAAATACACTTTACCCCCAAAGCCCTGTTCTTTCTACTCCGAAGAAGCTCTTTCTAGTCCCAGGTCGCCTGCATTCTTGGATTCGAAGCCCAGAAGTGAGAAGAGAAAGCGCATTCGAGTCCTTCCTTCCCCTGAGGCCAGGCTGAACAGCTCGGCCCCAAGACCCTAAGGACTTTCGCCAGCTCTAGGCCTGCACTTGGGGCAGGCAGTGGCGGAGAGACAGATGGGGTCCCGGAAGCTCAGTTCCCTTAGACTTTTTACCCCTCCCCATGCCAGGAAATGGCGGGACGCCCAGATTTAAATGCAAGAGCAAGAGCCTTCTAGCTGGGGAAAGAGACTAACTAGATCTCGCCCCTCACGTCCAGCCAAAGAAGGTACCTCGCTCCGCGGGGCTGGACGGCTGCGGGCTCCTCCTCCAATGCCCTCGAGTCGCGCACTGCTTGATGGTATTCGTAGTCCTTCCTTGGGCCTACCCTTCCCAGAAAGCTTCGGGAAGTCAAGCCGAGACAGAGTGAGAGGAGGTGGGGAACACGAGGGCTTCTGGGAGTTGTAGTTTAAAATATTCAAGCATCAAGGAAGGACTGGGAAAAAAACTGAGTATTAAATGTTATCAAATTTGGGCTATAAGGATCTGAATTTCATGAGATATTTTTTCTCCTGTGCATTTTGTTAGTTACCTCCAGGGTTCAAAACGACGAGCATGTCTATTCATAGGAACTACAAATCCCAGAAAGCGTTGCATGTGGAGGCCTTTGGAGAGCGAGGTCGGCCTCGGCGCAGGCGCGGTGGCTCGAGTTCGGCTGTGAGGAAACATGGCGGCCCCGGCGCTTACTGCGAAGTTGTATTCCCTGCTGTTCCGCAGGACTTCCACTTTCGCCCTCACCATCGCGGTGGGCGCTGTGTTCTTCGAGCGCGCCTTCGATCAAGGCGCGGACGCGATCTACGAGCACATCAACGAGGGGGTGAGGGTTTGAGCCATGCTGACCTTGGGTCCGCTGAGGGGTGACGGTGGGAGTGGAGTTGGGACGGGGCTCAGTCTGTCTTCACCTGGAGAAGGGCAAACCATAGGCGTCTTTTGCCGAGAGACTGATATCCCCCCGCCCGGTTTGGTGTGAATGCTAAAACGATGAATGAAATCCATAGACCCCATTTTGCAGGGGTTGCAAGTATTGATAATGTCCCACCTCACGTGCCTACACGTCCGTTTGCATAAAACTAAAACCAGATTAGAGCGAAGGATTTACTAGGACCCCACCGCCAGTAAGTCATTTGCAGTTCCGAGCTGGAACCCGGACCCTTGTGTCCTGAAAGTGTCAACAGCAGATTGAAACTATCGTGAAAAGGACATCTTAGACACCGTGGTTGACCTTTAAAGGATTGCTCTTTCAGTTCCCAAGGTGTTCCACGCCGGCAACGTGGTATTTATGACTAAAAGTAGGGCCTAGCTGGGGAGCAATATTGGCCATATTATATTCTTAAAATGTGTGCATATACGAAAATATAATAACAAATCCCACCATTATGTACAACTATAGTGCACTAATTTAAAAAAATGTGGAGAAAGAAAAAAAAAAAAGTGGAGGCTAGGAAAAATAAAAGAGCCTATCTGGGAGTACTGGGCCTTGTCACTTAATAACGGTACTATTAAGTTACTTAACTTCTCTGAGCTTTAGTTTAATCTAAAATAGAGATCATAATAGTAACTACCTCAGGGAATATAGATCTAGTGTCAGTGCCTGATAGGTGGTACCACTGGAAAAACAGCATTCATTACTTTCTTAGAAAGTAAGGAAACAAGAAAGCAACCACAATACCTTTTTAGATTTGCTGTGTACCAGGCGCTGTGCTAGGTTCTGTGCATGTTTTATATCATCAAATTGTGACTGTACTGGAAAAGGCCTGGTGCAGATAGTCCTGTTCACCATTTCCCTGTGTTTTTAATTTGAGGCTGTATGCGTCTACAGTCTAGGAAGGCTCTGTCCACCAATGCCAAACTGCCCAAGGCCAGGACAACTTCCTGCCCACATGAAAGTGTTGCTGCTGCCCCATCATTAAAAAAAAAAAAAAGAAAGAAAGAAAAGAAAAGACTAATTTATTTCAATTATGGTTGGACACAATACTTTTATTTTATTTTTATGTGGTGCTGAGGATCAAACCCAGTGACTGGCACATGCTAGGCAAGTGTTCTGTTGTAAGCATTTCCATAGGTCCTCCCCACTGATCTGGAAAAGCATCTAAGTATGCTGTCATAACCCACCTATTTTCTTTTCTTCTTCTTCTTTTTTTTTTTTTTTTTTTTTAAGAGAGGTTTTTTTTTTTTTTTAATATTTATTTTTTAGTTTTTGGCAGACACAACATCTTTGTTTGTATGTGGTGCTGAGGATCGAACCCGGGCCGCACGCATGCCAGGCTACCACTTGAGCCACATCCCCAGCCCAACCCACCTATTTTCCTGTGCTTTTAAGAATGATAATCTCGGGGCTGGGGATGTGGCTCAAGGGGTAGCGTGCTTGCCTGGCTTTGTGCGGTCCGGGTTCGACCCTCAGCACCACATACAAAGATGTTGTGTCCGCCAAAAACTAAAAAATAAATATTAAAAAAAAAAAAAATTCTCTCTCTCTCTCTCTCCTCTCTCACTCTCTCTTTAAAAAAAAAAAAATACTCTCTCTCCCTCTCTCTCTCTCAAAAAAAAAAAAAAAAAAAAAAGAATGATGATCTCAGTCAGTTTAGGTTGAGTAAACAAAACTCAATGTAAAACATTTGGGAACTGTGCACATAGGACAGTAGTACCTCGGAGTCAAAGAATGGAGACATCTTTTAGGCCTTTTTTTTTTTTAAACCACGGTTTGAACCCACAGCATTTAAACCCACTGAGCCACATGCCGGACCTTTTTTTATTTTTTATTTTGAGATAGGGTCTCGCTAAGTTGCTGAGGCTGGCTTTGAACTTGCAATCATCCTGCTTCAGCCTCCTGAGCCATTGGGATTACAGGCACGTGCCACCACACCTGGCTTCCAAGCTGTTTCTTAATAATTGTGTTCTTCGGAGCCATTCTCTTAATATGTGTTTCCATTCCCTGTAAAAGTAGGATTGTCCATTCCAGCTTCAAAGTATTTTATAAATATTTAGAGTTGTGTGTCAAACCTAGTGTTGCTTCCATTCTGCCCACCACAGCTGCACATTTTTAATCAGACCATGAAACTGGTTTCTCTCAAGTTTGTTTTAGTTGCTTAGTTTGTGGAGTAGTTGTAAAATGTGAGAGCACAGGTTACAGTTTATGGTTCTTGTCTTTTAAATGCAGAAACTGTGGAAACATATCAAGCACAAGTACGAGAACAAAGAGTAGTTTCTCACCTCCAAGGAAATGAAAGGACCAGATCCACCCACCAGCTGTTTGCCCAGAACTGGGGCCTCAGCCTGAAGATGATTTTCAAGTATTCTTCAGGGACCGCTGGTAGCTGTTGGCAAGAAATGGCTCCACCTAACAAACAGACTCTAACTTCTGCCGGGTTTGAAGTGTGTTTAGAGTCATCCGCAAATAAATGTAAATTATCCTTGAGACTTGCTTCTGCACTGGGTGCTTTGTTTACCTGATCTTTACTTGTCAGTTAAAGCCCTCTGCAAATACCTAAAGGACAGACTCCACCACGTACTCCTCCACGTGGAGTTTTCCATTAACTTCCAAAGAATTCTGGTTTTCAGAACAGCCTGAGTTGGAGATATTACCTTCAACATTGGGTCTCAAAACTGTTAGTTACATTCTTAAGTTTCACAGAGGTGACCTTACTCTCTTGGCTATAGGAAGCACTATGGCCTCTGGGGGAATAGAGATTGGCCTTGGGGCCTTTAGCCAAACCTGCCTCAGTCTTTAGTCTGCCTTCTGCCTTTTGCTGAATTTCTTGGTAAGCTGCTGGGGCGGGGCCTCCTGTCAAAGTTCCACTGAGGAGTTCAATTTATTAGAATGCTTAGTTGGGTTTGAATTCCACTCCAGCAGTTCTAGCTGTGTGGACCAGTGGCACGCACTTGACCTTGCTGAACTTATCTTTAAAATTGAGATAATACAAATACCTATTGCATGTGGGTTTTGTGAGTTTTAAAGTACTTTAATGGAGCTGGGGAAGTTATAGATGCTGGTAGTTGGAGGAAACTGCTGGCAGAGACAAGGTTGCTAAGGACTAGAAAAACCTGAGCATTCTGCTTGAAACCTGGAGCAATAGGAATGTAAGGAAGGGGAATTCAAGAACATCATCTGGTCATTAATTCAAAAGTTTGGGTAGCCACTGTGCTAGCAGGAGGTTTGGGGAAAGTAGCACTGTGGGGCTTGAATTCCCACAGGACGAGGTAGTATAAATGCCATCCTACATGATTACAGACTGGGGCAAAGGTTGGGGAACAGTGCATTGTAACTGAGCCGAGACCTGGAGGTGATAAGGCTGAGTCACTTAAGTGGGTATTGGAGGCAAAACAGGAAGTAGCAGGTTTGAAGGCACCATATTGAGGAATGGATTTACTTAAGCCTGGGAGGCTGAAGGTGATTGGAAGTGATCATTCAGGACCTGACGTGTCAGTGAAGATTCTGGATTTTGTAAAAATTAAACTGAAAATGGCTTAAGCAAGGGAGCAATAAGTTCTGTTTTATTAAAAACCTCACTCTGGTAGGGCGGGATGATTACATTGGAAGCAGGTGGGAGAGAAGCGTCTACCTAGGAGGCCAATGCCCTGCTGTTAGTTAAAGCTCATGGCTATAAAGAGACCTTGAAAACTGAGCACTCTGGTTTGGGGTGGCCGTGGAGAACACTGGAAAGTGTAGAACTCCCTGTTTTTATATCTGGGAAGGAAAATGACTGACCTGGTAAGTGTCTACCACCCTGAATCTGGAGTGATTTAACCAGACAGAGCTAGATCATCCAGAATCTTCTCTGATGGAAGAACATTCAAATCTCCACCCATACAGAGGTAGAAGAGATCCTAGAAATATTTGTTCTACCTAAGGCATATTTTCATGAGGTATAGGCCTAGAGAAATTGTCCTGCCAGAGATGGTACAGCTCTGGGTTCAAATCATGACCTGAAATAGAGCCTTGTCTAAGATTTCATTTCTTTATTTTCTGCAGCACAGGGGGTAAAACCCAGGGCCTCACACATGCTAGGCAAATGCTCCACCATTGAACTAATATCCCCAGCTCTAGTCTGACTTTTAAGAATGAATTCAGTACCAGCACTGTGGTGCAGGCCTGTAATCCCAGCAACTTTTGAGGCTGAGGCAGAAGAATTACAAGTTTGAGGTCAGCCTCAGCAACTTAAGAAGACCCTATCTCAAAATTTTAAAAGAGGTCTGGGGAGTAGCTCTTATATGGTAAGAGTGTTCCTTGGTTCCTTGGTTCCCCCGTACCAAGAAAAATAAAAAGTGATTTTGGCATCATGAAGAGTA